TATTCAGTTCCCACTTCATCAGTTTAACATTTTCCCAATCCGTAAGGTGAAATGAGCTTATCACATTTTCTGCTAAGGACGATTAATATACCACAATCTACCGTATTAGTTCTAAATTTGAACACTAGGTAAAATAGTATAAAACTGTATTAGTTCTAAATTTCAACACTAGGTACAATAGTACAAAAGATTATAGTGTAGTGTTTCTGTGGTTCGGCTTATACTCGACAAATATATAGAGAACTAAAAAAAAAACATGAATCTGCTTTAATTATTTAACATTCTTTACAGGAAAGGCCGAGACCAGAGTTTGCTGCAAAAGCGCCATCTGTAGAGAGAAACCCTATCACAGGAGTTAAGGAACCATTCTTTCCAACCCCCTTACGATACAAGAGAATGGCTGCGGGTATTGGAGCCCTCTTTCTGATGGTAAAAAAAAGGGATATCAGTCACAGTGATATAGTGATATAACGTTTCACCTTTCAACACAAAATAAAACTAAAATTAGTAAATACTCAGGTTGGATCATATATTTAAAACTTGATGTAATATGTTTCGATTTTTTACAATTAGATATTCTTCACATCAGAATTGTTCAACAAATATTAGTTTTTATGTTAGTTTATTCTGAAATTATAAATTACTTTTTGTTTCTACCAATAGCTGGCGCTAATAATAATCTTCATCGTGGCGGTGATCATCTACCGAGTATTAGTATCTATTCCACTCTTCCAAAGTAAAACGTTTCGGGGCGTGGCTTCTCCAATCGCAAGTTCTACAGGCGCATGCGTCAACTTGATTTTCATCATGGCTCTTGGAAGAGTGTACGAAACATTAGCTCTCAGGCTAACTCAATGGGGTGTGTCTTCTTTGGTTTCTTTCTCTCTTTTTTTTTTTCATAACATTCTTTAATTAACTCTCATATTATTGAAGTTATATTGTATCTGTAAAATTCCCGTCTCACGAGCTTATATTGATTTAATATATTTTAAGTAGTTATTCTACTGCTATTATGAGGGATTTAATAAATAAATTGTGAGAATTTTCTGGAAATGTTAAGGTCCTCTAGCAGATGATTAATTTTGAGAGGTTTTAATGTTTTATTACCAGTATATATATATGGCCATAACTACTACCTCCTGGCCCGGTTATAACTTGGTCACATGATAGAAATGTGCAAATCCTATTGGATGTGATGTAAACAAATGAACGGATTAGAACTAGATACACATATTGTATTCTGGAATGTTCTCGCTGAGTTACAGCATTAACTGAAGTTAAACGATGAATATATTGGATAAATGACATAAGTTATACCTTGATATAAACAAAAATGTAACAATTGTCTTTTGATTTGATTTTGAAGAATCCTTTTTATTGTTAAAGAATGTTTGCGCAAAGCTACATAAATGGATATCCGCCCATAGCCTTTCCTAATTTAGAACTGACAGATTAGAAGGAAATCAGTTAGTCAACAGTATTCATCGTCAACTTTTAGGCTACTTTTGTCTGACGGAATTATGGGATTTGACCACCACTAGTAACTCTTTTACTGCTTCGTTTATAGATAAACAATTCTACCAGTGTCAGGATTAATTTTAGATACACAACAACAAAAACATGTTTTAATATTTCATTGCTCATCTGAAACTTGAAACTGGTAAACTTTTGGAAACGTCAATAGTAATATCATTTCTTCATGATGTTACAAAATTCAAAGTTCCTATAGCAGTCCATATTGGGACATAAACGTGTTTACCCGTGGCCCCAAAGTGCTGAGCGTTTTTGTTTTTTTAGGTTGTAGGATGCGAATCACGAATTTTCGCATCCACAGTGTATGCACAATATCCCATCACTCACGCTAAAAAATCGACTGTCACTTTTATTCTAAAGCTTAAAGTGTGGGGACTATTTTGTGGCATTGGACAGGTCCAAATCCACCTCGCCAGCTCGTAGATTCAGAACTATACAACAGGGCCATACCGCATCCTATTTATTGAGTAAATATGACTCGTAGTGAGATTTGTAGTTGATACATAAACTTCGGGAATAATTATTTTTGCACTAAGAAAATTGGGTTTAAAAAATAGTTATATACATACACAAAACACATGTTTACAATATTCCCGTGCAAATAAATAAAAACATTATCAGTTCCATCTGTTGGTGGATTAATCAGCAGAAGTTAAGTGTGCTCCCCAGAAATGCTTCTGGCATATTAACACGAGACCAACATGAATTTAATAGCAGAGCAGCACTAAGACCGTCCGAAGCGTTAGGATCTGCAAATCTTGTCACGTGCTTACCATTAGTCATGGCTGAACGTATTTACCAGCGGATTGTTTGTTTCTTTGCAATTAAGCACAACGCTACACAATGGGCTACATGTGATCTGCCTGGGCCCGGCATGGCCAGGTGGCTAGGGTGCTCGACTCGCAATCTGAGAGTAGCGGGTTCGAATCCCTGTCATACCAAACATGCTCGCCCTTTCAGCCGTGGGGGCGTTATAATGTGACGGTCAATCCCACTATTCGTTGGTAAAAGAGTAGCCCAAGAGTTGGCGGTGGGTGGTGACAACTAGCTGCCTTCCCTCTAGTCTTACACTGCTAAACTAGGGACGGCTAGCGCAGATAGCCCTCGTGTAGCTTTGCGTGAAATCCATAACAAACAAACAATGTGATCTGCCCACCACAGGTATCGAAACTCGATTTCTGAGACTAAAAAGAAATACATAAGTGGTGATTTTTCTATATAAGTACGAGATGAAAATTAATGCAGAAACTACTTAATTTTAACAGTGTAACTTTTAATGCCTTCAATGATAACAAAACAACGTATTTTCCGTTTTTCCTCTTCAGAAATGCATCGAACTCAGACTGACTTCGAGAACAACCTAACTTTCAAAGTATTCATTTTCCAGTTTGTCAACTTCTACTCCTCCATATTTTACATCGCATTTTTCAAAGGCAGGTCAGTATATTCCCTTGATATTTTGCCACAGCGCTACACGTGCGTAACCAGGGGGCGCGTATGTTTTTTTGTTTTTTAATTTTGTTTCTCGAGTGTCTATATTAATCCTCAACTGAAACAATATTTTTACCATAAGTGAAGTGATTATATGAAATACGATGAATGTTTTTGTTTTTCTAATGATTCGTTCCTAATTACTCTGTATACTTGACTTTACTTGTTTAAAACAGATTGACGTGTGAAGAACAGGGGGTTATTTAAAGTTTCCTGACGTGAGAGATATTAAATTTGACACCGAATCTGATAGATGTTCAGAGAGTAACAGTTTATTTGTCCCATAAACAGGGTATGAGCAATTTTGGACAAGATGTGTGGCTTGCAATGTAATAACACAACGATAATACCAGTTATTTTTAAAAACGTTTTATAATAAAGTTTTTAATACACCTAATATTTTCCAACTTGTCTTTTCTTCTTTTCTCGAGGAAGCTCTGCGTGGACTAGACAACAGTCAACAGCAGCTGTACGGAGACAAATTCCTAATATCACACCTGCTTTTACCAGACTAGTCCGAAATTCTCCCAACCAAGATTTATTGATTTGTTTTGAATTTCGCGCAAAGCTACACGAGGACTATGTGCGCTAGCCGTCCCTAATTTAGCAGTGTAAGACTAGAGGGAAGGCAGCTAGTCATCACCACCCACCGCCAACTCTTGGGCTACTCTTTTACTAACGAATAGTGGAATTGACCATCACATTATAACGTCCCCACGGCTGAAAGGGCGAGCATGTTTGGTCGGACGGGGACTCGAACCCGCGACCCGCAGGCTGCGAGTCGAGCGCCCTAACCACCTGGCCACGCCGGGCCCCAACCAAAATACAAATTATTGTAGTTAGCGAGAAATCGTGATATGTAGTACTCATATTTTTCCCAATATTAGTGTACTATACGTATTGATTGTGGTTTAATACGATCGACCGACAACAACAATAAAAAAAACAACTAACAACTTCTAAATACTTCTCATTAGTTCATTTTACAGAACTATTTTTACTGCTATTAACAACTCTCGTACTCGTTATAATTAATATCATTTCTGTATTTAAAATAAATCGTAGTTATTAATTTTTTTTTTATCAGGTTTGTGGGCTACCCTGGCCATTACCAGCACTTGTTGGGCCTCAGAAATGAAGATGTAAGTAGCAACATCATAGATGAAGAGAGCCCATCATCACAATTCTCATTTCACAGAAATTTTAAAATATTACACTTGGCTGCATAGTAGAAGCATTAAAGAATTGGGTATCTGGTTTATTATAAACAACAAAGCCTTTGATGCGCATTAATTCCAATTTAGCTTCTTCGATAACAAAGTAAATTGTAAAAAAATTAAACATTCTGACGCATTATATCATTGTTCATAATTATTCAGTATGGCATTCCAATTAGTAGTGCTAAAGTTAAAGAAAAGTTATCATTTTTTTAAAGACTTTATTTATATACTATTGTGGCCTTAAAGATGATCGGTAAGAGAACTTACTCCAATTTGTGCAGCTTAAAAAACAACAATCTAGTAACTAAAGTAAAGGAAATATCAGACGTTAAAATTTCATAGGATATCGCATTACGTCTCGACTTCTTTTATTTAAGTTGTTATTTTTCAGTGTGATAAATAAAAGTCCTGGCAAATCTACACGGGTAAAAAAAATAGAATATTATTAATAGGTTATAACACTGTATAAAATTGCTGTTATTTTAAAAATACTGCTTAATAGTACATTGTTATCGATGTT